AATCCTCTGGGGAAATATAATATTTTGACTCTTTTTGTTCTGCCTTCTGTACAGAGGTAGATTTTGTCCTCTGTACAGATCCAGATAGATAAACTCAACAAAGCATCCATACAAAGTCTTTATTATTGGTTCATCAGGTATCCTCATAACTCACCTTTATGACAAAGTTCTTCTTAATGTCCAATCCTTTGTATATCTGTCTTTGTAGGTAAAAAGATAGTTATTTCCTTCTCCCCGTAGCGGTAGAAAGAGCAGCTACCACGAGTCAGTGAGTTCAGGCAAGAGTGAAGAAACCTCCCCCAACCCATCAAGGGGTCAATTTAGTGACCAATCAGGATTACAGATGTGGTCACGTGACATGGATTACATTTCCCAGGATACCTTAACTACATTTACCATGACGCATTCCCTTAAGGGGACAGCTCACAAATCCGAACTAACTATCCAATTCCCATACCACGACTGTGACTTGCAACGTCCTGTCAATTTTGTTTGTCGGAAGCCAATTCTGAAGGTTCCAAATGATGATTTCATGACTGTGGGACACCACAACTATCATATTTGCAAGCCAGTGCCACCCCCAAATAACTGTGAGGGCCACAAAGGTCTACTTTCAGCTGGTCCACTAATTTAGTCACTTTGTCAAAGAATGAAATGTTAGTTTAGCATGATTTGTTTTTGATAAACCCATGTTGGTTACTGGTTATAGCTTTGTTTGCTTCTAGGTGTTCACAGATTGATTGCCTGGATATGTTTTCCAAGATGTTACCGGGTATTAATGTCAGGCAGATCTGTCTATAAATTCCTGGGTATATCTTTTTTGAGGATGGGAACAACATCCGCTCTTTTCCAGTCCTCAGTTACACATTGTCCTGAACCTACAACCATAACTCAGTCCAAAAGTTATGTTGTTAAAGTGAGAAATGTGTTAAGTGATCCTTGCCCCATTTTATGACTTTTCTTGCCATATTTGTTAAGTGAATCATTGCAGTTGTTAAATTAGTAACACCAGGGTTGGGCTTCAAAATTTTTACCAACGGGTTCTCTGCCCAGTTGGTGGATGGGCACAGCCATGGTGGATGTGGCCTAGTCAGCCTCCTGCACCATGGGGGGGGGGCATTTTTGCTCTCCCCAGGCTCTCTGGAAGCCAGAAACGGGCCCATTTCCGGCTTTCCCAATCTTCCAGGAGGCCCATTTTTCGCCCACCCCAAGCCTCCACACATGCCCTGCACTTACCTGCATCTAAAACAAGCTACATGGGGACTCCGGGGAGAGGAGGGGCAGGGTGGGCAGGGCCAGCAAGGAGTGGGATTAGGGGGTTCTCTGAACTGCACAGAATCTTAGCTACGGGCTCTCCTGAAACCCTGAGAACCCCCAGCAGCCCCCTCCTGAGTAACACTGTTGTTAAGTGAATGTGGTTTCCCCATTGACTTTGCCACTCAGCAGGTCACAAAAGGGAATGACATGACTGTGACACTGGATCCATTATAAGTCAGTTGTCAAGCATCTGAACATAAATCACACAACCATGGGGGGGATGCTACAACGGTCGTGTGTGAAAAATGATCATAACTCTCTTTTTTCAGTATCATTGTAACTTCGGTCACTAAATGGACTCTTGTAAGTTGAGGTCTACCTAAAGTACCCCCGTGTTCCAAGGACTTTGAAACATATTTCAGTGGTTCTGAAATCACCTTTGCTGGTTCCTTCAGAACTCTGGGATGTAGCCTGTCCAAACCCAGTGATTTGAATTGGTCTAGAGCTGACAGCTGTTCTCTTACCTTATTTTTCCGTATTCTAATTTGCATTCCTAACCAGTCAGTTGCAGTTCTGGTTTGATAAGTTGATTCGTGTTTTTCTTTATCAGTGAAAAAACATGCAAATTATCTTCTTTATAACCTAATCCCTGTTCTTATACTCCTGTGAATTAAGGAGGTGTCTCTCTGAGCCTCTTCTGAATTGGATTCATATGCTGCGGATGTGACAAACTTGTATGGTTTCTCTCCTGTGTGAGTTCTTTGGTGTATCATCACTCTGGAATTCCAACAGAAACGATTTCCAAAACAGGACACTCATACGGTTTCTCTCCTGTGTGAGTTCTTTGGTGTATCATCACTCTGGAATTCCAACAGAAACGATTTCCACTCATACAGTTTCTCTTCTGTGTTGAGTTCCCTGATGTCTCACCAGGCTGCAATTATTATAGAAACTTTTCCCGCAGTCAGGACATTCAAAGGGCTTCTCTCCTGTGTGAATCCTCAGGTGTGTCATCAGGCTGGAATTCTCACTGAAACTTTTCCCGCAGTCAGGACATTCAAAGGGCTTCTCTCCTGTGTGAATCCTCTGGTGTGTCACCAGGTTGGAATTTGTACTGAAACTTTTCCCACAGTCAGGACATTCAAAGGGCTTCTCTCCTGTGTGAATCCTCTGGTGTGTCACCAGATAGGAATTCTGACGGAAACTTTTCCCGCAGTCAGGACATTCAAAGGGCTTCTCTCCTGTGTGAATCCTCTGGTGTTTCACCAGGTTGGAATTTGTACTGAAACTTTTCCCACAGTCAGGACATTCAAAGGGCTTCTCTCCTGTGTGAATCCTCTGGTGTGTCACCAGATAAGAACTCTGACGGAAACTTTTCCCACAGTCAGGACATTTAAAGGGCTTCTCTCCTGTGTGAATCCTCTGGTGTGTCACCAGGCCGGAATTTGTACTGAAACTTTTCCCACAGTCAGGACATTCAAAGGGCTTCTCTCCTGTGTGAATCCTCTGGTGTGTCATCAGGCTGGAATTCTCACTGAAACTTTTCCCGCAATCAGGACATTCAAAGGGCTTCTCTCCTGTGTGAATCCTCTGGTGTGTCACCAGGTTGGAATTTGTACTGAAACTTTTCCCACATTCAGGACATTCAAAGGGCTTCTCTCCTGTGTGAATCCTCTGGTGTTTCACCAGATTGGAACTCTGACTGAAACTTTTCCTGCAATCAGGATATTCAAAGGGTTTCTCTCCTGTATGAATCTTCTGGTGTCTCCCCCGGCTGGAATTATCATAGAAACTTTTCCCACAGTCAGGACATTCAAAGGGCTTCTCTCCTGTGTGAATTCTCTGGTGTGTCACCAGGTTGGAATTTGTACTGAAACTTTTCCCACAGTCAGGACATTCAAAGGGCTTCTCTCCTGTGTGAAT